CCTGTGTGGTAATCTAAGCTCTGGGTCCAAGCTCTGGGGAGGTAGAGGCAGATAGCTATTTTGGCAACATAGCTACTTTTAAACAGCCAGCCTGGGCTCAAGAAACTCCAGTCAAGAAAAACCAAAAAGAAAAACATTGTGTCCTTCTCAATTAGCTAACCTCCTAGCTGTCCTGAACTCTTCAACCTCCTCAGTATATTACAATTTAGCTAACTGTTCTAAATTACTTTCAGACAACTTAATCTCCGAGACTCAGAGACTTCATTCAAGTCTTATCTTACTTGCCTTTTTCAAGAGATACACAGTTGAAAACTCTTCGTCCTTGAAATATTCTCCTGCCTCAGTTTCCTGATAAATCCTCCCAGTCTTTCCCGGTTTTTCTGGTTGTAGTTTTGTTCGTTTTCATCCCTTGTCTATCTCACATAGATGACTAACTTTCCCCCTTAGCTACTGGCCCTATCTCCTTAGTTCCCAACACAGATAGAGGAATCATCCTAATCTTCAGTCTTCCTCTATTCATGCATTCATTTGCTCATTCATTTATTGCGGAGGGAAGCATGTGTCAAGGCATCCATTTGGAGGTGAGAAGACAATTTGTAAGAGTGGGTCCTCTCCTACCATGTGTATCTCGGGGATAAAAATGGGTTGGCAGAGCTGGCAGCAAGTACCTTTACCCACTAAGCCATCTCACCAGACCCAATCTTTTTCTATTCTATAACCTATTTGTCCAATGTACTGATAATACTTCCTAAATCTCTCCTACACCCACTCCTCCTCCTTCACACTCCATGTCATTTTTCACCAGGAATAGCTTTTTCACTGATCTTGCCCTTTTCAAACCCAGCTTTCATTTCTCTGTCAAAATGATAGGTCCAAACCAGCTCTGACTGTATTGCAGGATGGCTCACTGGGGTGGACGATGGGAGTATTTTGTTTGTTTATTTATGTGTATATGTGTTTTGCCTGCAGTGCTCTCTGACAACAGAAGAGGGTGTCAGATCCCCCGGAAGTAGAGCCACAGATTTTTGTGAGCCACCTTATAGGTGCCCAGAATTGAACTCAGGTCCTCTGGAAGAACCATCGCTCCCGCCCAGTTTTTGTTTTTCAACTAAAACTTCACAGCCTTTAAGATGAGGTTAAAATTCCTAAGCTTGGTTTACAGTCAGGTACTCCATTTGCCTCTGTTCTAAAGATGTGCTGTTGATGTTATCGAAAGTTTGTTACTGTAGCTAGTCTTACTTGAAATGTGCTCAAGTGTAAAAAAAGGACCATATTCTGAGGACTTTGTATGAAAAAGAGAATGCTAATATATCTTAGTATAGTGCTTTATATTGATCTCAACTTTTACTTTTTAAAAGTTACTAGAAATTTCAAAATATACATGGCTTATGTTTACTTTTAAAAACATAGTAGCATTAGGATAAAATGTTTCCCCTTTCTGAACTTAGTTGACTCATATATAATTCCAGATTAGCTTGAATAACTCACCATGATTCCAGAACATCCCCCACAACCAAGAATCCAAGTCTGAGTCAACAAGCCTTCCTCTGCACTTTCATCCACCGGCACCTGTGCACACACCTGCCACATATCACAGCATATTCTAATTACTGGTCACCAGCTAGCTCTCCTCCTAGGTATAAGCTCCTGGCAAAAAGAGTATCACCTCTATATATTCAGGTCCTACCACCATGCCTAACACTTCAAAAGACACTCAAATACTTCTCTTGTCAAACAAATGTGAATTTGGTCTGAATGTTACCAGAATATTCTAATTCTCCAAGAAAAATCAGCCAGCAGGAAGGAAGCCTGTGCCAGAAGTTCTAACAATGAAAAGACTGGGGCATAGGAATCACAGTAGAAGACAAACAAAAAAATAATTCCACATCCACACCTGCCTCTTAACAGTGAAAACGGGGATTGCAGAAGTGACATGGCGCTTCAGACTCACACTTGATGCCAGGGGCCACGGTTTGGCTCCTAAATTGCTTTAACAACCCATCCAACAAAAGAGTATGATTTGGCAGGTTACAACACAACAGCTAGAGCCGAGCACCTGTTCCCCTTAAACAGCACATCATTACAGTTAAAAACAACAACAAATCTCTCTCATGAAGCAAATGCTAATCTCATGATGCTTCGCCATGGAGCAATTTAAAAGAGTTATTATATGAAATGTGCCAAAGCCTGAATTTATGGCTGATGCTTATTTGGCAAATATGGTTGGCACTGTTAGCTGTTAAAAGGCATGTATGCAAATAAGCAAATAAAAGTTTTTAAGCTCTCAGACTTAAATATTTACATTACCATAAATGTACAAAGATAAATGTTTATATGCATACGTATATAATGCATTTCAGGAACACACTTTTTAATATGACTGTCAGAAAACAGTTATGAAGTGGCATTATTTCTTTATAGGCCTCAGGACAGACTCTTAAAGATGAATTCTGACAGAATGTTAATGGGTACAAACACTACTGTGGCAGTTTCTCTGCACTGTTAGTAGACAAGATGAGTAGTCAGCGACCTAAACACTCAGACAGGCTTAGCTTCTCCTCTCAACAAAACAGTTCTTGCAACCCTGGAAACCAGCCAAACAAATAGAGGGTGGGAGAAAGAAGGACCACAAATCAAAAGCTTTAAAAAAAAAATTTTTTTTTGACATTTTCCCCACAGAACATAGTCATGTTATTCTCTCCAAAGTAAAGACATGATAAAATATTTTCTCTTCTTCCCCTCTGGCATCTATGGGAAGGGGATGTTTGTTTTTTCACATAGTTTGTGAGTGGTCATTGCCAAAACTCACTTGCAGCGGTATGAGCTCTGCTTCCATTGTTAACTGTGAATCTCTGTGATAAGGCTATTAACTCCTATCTTGGAAGCCAAGAAAATGTACCTCACCTGCAATTACAGTTTACTGGAAAAGTCACCAAAGAAGTGCCAGGCACTTTGGAAAATAATTAGGGTAGTCAGTGAATTGAAAGATCTAAAATGCTCTGAGATTACAAAAGAAGCAATCATGAAGTGAGTATCCAAGATTGCTCATGGAAAGTTTTACCCTTGTGGATAATTCAAGTTTGTTGTTTTGTTTTTTTTTTTTTCCACTTTGCAGAGAGCAATGTGTGTCCTCTTGACTACACACATCATTTACCAGGGTAGGTAAAGGGGGGACACTGTGGCTGAAAAAATAAAAATAAAAATCAACAGGGTGCCAAACAGCATACTCAAAGCAATTCCAATTCAGGTGAAAAACCATGCACATCATCCAGTGACCTAAAAATAGCCCTTTATGTAAGTCACCAAGTATTTAATTGAAAGTGTAATCTTACCACATTCAACAGAGGCAAAGAAAAAAATGTACTGGGTTTTCTATAGTAAGGCCAATAAAGATGAAATCATAGTTTTCCTTTAACTCATCTCTATCCTTCAACGCCAGCCTTCCAATAACTCCATTCCACAGCTCTGATTCCTAAATTTGGGTCCTTTAAAATGCGGACTGCAGAAATGAGACTTGGGGGCGCCGGGGGCGGGGGGAGTACCCTTTGATACCGCTCTCAGAGGTCGTTAATGTAGTCCGAGAACGAAATCAAGCTCTCCAAGGGACCGTGCATAAGGTGTGTGCGGGGGTGGGGGGGCGACACGAAAAGGGGCCCCAGTTCAGATGACGAGTGCTCTTCGAAGAAGAACAGGAAATGTGCAAGAACGCATAAGTCAGAGGGCAAAGAAAAAAAAAACTGTCTAACCCAACCTCTCAAAATCCCAAACCCCTAGGCAACCCAGAAAGCCCGCGCGCGTTAGGGGCTCAGCAGCCAGAGCGTGAAGTGAGCAGGCACCGAGCCACGGTTTCCGTCCTGACTGCCGCTGCCAGGCAGAGCCCGGGGGTCCCAGGTCCGGGCGCGGGACCACAGGACGGATTGGCCGAAGCCCTCCGTGCCCCAGCCTCCCGCGTCCAGCTCCTCTTTCCCCCGAGCCTCGCAGCCCGGCCCCGGGAAGTCCCCAGTCGCCAGGTTCCAACTTTCCCTCCTCTGGGGGGCGCCGCGCCGCCGGGACCATCGCAGCCCGGGTGGCGAGGCCTGGGCCGGCGAGGGGCACGGGAGGGCTCGCGGCGCCCGCGGGGCGCGTGGGTGGCCGGGTCGCTGCATCCCGCGCCCCGCGGGACGCACCGGCCGCCGAGCCCCTGCGGCGCCGCCCAGCCCGGATCCCCCGGGTCCGCGACCTCACCTCGCGGCGACCCTGGCCCCGCAAGCCAGCGCGCGTGGGAAAGGGACCGCAGGGTACGTGGGCGACCCTGCCCGCGTTACCTGAGGGGAGCACGCGCCGTGGCGAGGTTCACCAGAGCCGCCCGTCCCGTCCCCTTTCCGGCGATCGCAGCCGCGGCCACCGAGCAACTGACACAACTAACTAACTACTCGCGGCCGCGGAGTCCACCGCGCGCTCCCGGCCGCTCGCCGTCCGCCCAGCCCACTGGCAGCCCGGCTCCTCCCAGCCCTGCGCGCCGCCCCGCCGCGCGCACCCGCGCCCGCTTCACTTCTCGGGGGAGTGCGCGCACCAAGCCTCGGCGGCCTCGGAGCGCTCCCCCCAGCCCCGTGGGCGGGGCGGACGGGCCGCCACGCCCCTCTGCCTGCCAATATCCGGAGAGCAGGGCCCAGAGAAGGCCTGATTGGTTGGTGGGCGGAGCCAAAACTAGAGGGCGGGGCGACCGGGACGTGGAGCCCACGTGACGGGGAATTAGGGTGCAATTAAACGCCAGTGGAAACCAACAGCGCAGGTTTGGACCTTTTCTTCGGGGACGAACCGCCTTGTTTCAGCCAGTCGCCAAGTACAGAATAACTGTTCTCAAAGGCTCCAGCATATAACAATGACCAACTATTAAGTCCCACTATTTTTTTGCGAGCCTTAGCAATGAATAAGAAAACTACATTTCCCAAGAACCTTCGCGAAAGTGAGTCTCACCTTGCGTACTCACGTAGTCCTTCGCCGCATTGGGCAAAATAATCCCTTCGTTTCTCTGAAAGTATCGGGTATAATATTTCACGTCTCTCCTCACCGTAACAATTGTCAGTATTACCACGAGAAGAGAAGTCACCTGTATGGAGGTGGCTAAGTGATTAGGTAAAAAGTAAGAAAAGACACCGAAGTAGTTAGTACTGCGGAGGAATTTCTGTCAAGCTGTGAGACGACGGTGAAGAGCGAAGGCGATTGCGAGGGGCTGAGGGAATTGTCCTCTGTGCAAGGGACTTTCATTAGTCCCCAGGTCCCTGCCTGCCCCTACCGTCAGCAGGTTAGTAAGCAAGACGAGCAAGGGGGTGGCCACAGTCGAGGTGCCCTTCCCCCCCTTGAAGAGCATCCTCTTCTGCTGCTGCTGTTATTGGTTTGTCTTGGTTTAAGGCCCACTGAATGGGGGCGCCTCACTTCCGGTTGGGGGAAGGGAGACATGCTGTCATAGGGGAGGGGGAAATAGAACTCACTTCCTGTGTGGTAGAATGATGTTTGGGGGGTGTCCAAGCCACTTCCCGTGTTGATGAGAGCCAGAAAAGGTGTTGGTTTGTGCCATTCTCAGAAATAGTTCCTACAGCCTTGGGGTTGTGATTTCAAGTCACAAGTTCGGTTATTCCCTCAACCAGGCCCGATCAGAATTGATGTAGTTTGTCTCTATGTGTAATATGGGAAATGTCTGCCCAGCAAGATTTTATTAATGCTCTCTCCAAAGAATTCAAAACACCTTGTGAAAATTCTCTGCAAGACTACGTACTTTGTTGTGTGACTCGTGAGCTGGCCACCCTTGCACCCCTGTCAAGGTTGTCCTTAACTGAGTGAATTAGTGTGGTCGCTGCCGAGACATGGAACAGGAACTCTTTACCTACTCTTTTAAGGAGGTAGTTCATTAGTCGAGGACCGAATGGATCACATAAATTACAGGGCATTTCGTTTTTGCAAAGAGAGAGTATCATACTGCATACTTACATGTGATGTTACCTTAATAGAGGTAATTAATATGTTACATACGTAGACCTGTTACTCTCGGACTGGAGGATTTCCCCATCCCTGGGAACGGCAGCATCCGCTTATATATTGTTTCGTGTAGCTTACTATGGTGTTTATGATGCATTTTATTGGATTTCCCCTTTTGTAATTTAACTGAGTTTGTCACCGATTTAAAAATTAGGTCTATTTACGGCAAAAAGATGATTTGTTCAGCATACGTATTGAGTAAGGAGAAAATGTCTCACAGAAAACAAAAGATGAATGAGACAGAATTTTCTGTATTTTGCTTTAAAAAAAAATCAAGAAGCTCTATCTGGAGTGGTAATAAGCAGCAGTTTTGATCTTTGGCTTCTCTTGTCGGACAACCCAGTATATGAGCGTATGTTTGTTGGCAGAATCAGTCTATTTGGGCCTTACTTTGTGAAATCTCAACCTTTTTAAAAACTTGATATTTAAAAATATCTATCGGGTGAACCTAAAATGGCATTGTCTTCCAGTATCAAAGTGTATGTATTTCTGATTTCATAGTTTTTACTTAGAAGTATTTCAGCAGAAAATATTTCACACTAAATGCAAAAATAAAAATATTTTAACCTTAATGTTGACATTTTTTTAAAAAAGTCATTCTTGGTCCTTCTGGAAACAACAGGGCTGGCACACATATGCGCTCACAAAGGCCGTGGCAGCAGACATAGGGCCTGAGCTGAAAGGAAAAGGGGACACACGCCCTCATCCGGAGCCCAGAAGCTACCTCCAATTGATAGTCACTTTAGTGAAACTTCAGTTTCTCCAAGGGAGTCTCGCTGAGGAAACAAACCACTCTTCAGGGTAGGCCCATGTCCAGCAGTAGATAGACAACAGAAATGAACTCAACGTGTATTTGGAGGTTCAGTGCATTTTTTTTTAATCTTACTATGGTGTCCAGTTTTGGGTTTGTATGGGATTCCTCTGTGTGTGTGAATGTGTGTTACTCAGCGTCATGTGCTTTTTCTCTGGCTCTTCTTTTTTGCATTGTCCTATTCTGATTTGTTGTTATATTTTATTTTATTATTCCTTAGCTGTCTGTTTGTTTTCTAATAAAGATAGAAAGAGAGTGAATGCATATGGCAGGAAAGGACCTGGGAGAAGTAGGGGGAGGGGAAACTAATCCAAATATATGAAAAATTTGTTTTCAATAAGAGGGAAAAAAGTATTATTGGACTGGGAGTATAGCTAAATGGTAGCGCACTTTCCTACTGTACATAAAATGAGCCTTTAGATTCGGGGTTTGGTCGCCAGTACTGACAGGAAAAACGAACAGACAAAAAATCAGCCTGGCCAGGTACGAAGGTGCAAGCCTTTAATGCCAGCACTGAGGAGGCAAAGCCAGGCAGATCTCAGTGAGATCCAGGCCAGCCTAGTTTACATAGTGAGTTTCAGGACAGCCAGAGGTACACAGACCCTATCTCAAAATTAATAAGTCTGATGGGCTGGGAATATAGTTGAGTGGTAGAGCACTTGTCTCATATGAAAGGGCTTCCATTTCAGCCCCAATACCACCAACACACACACAGATTGCTGCAGTAGTTAATTTTAAAAAGACAAGGAAAAATATTGTCTATGGTTACTGATAGAAGGTTAGGGACATGGACAGTGCACCAAGGAGATATGAATTGACTAGGAAAAAGTATTCACTGTCTTCTACATTAATATGTTAAATGGAGTCACCCTGAAAATTAAGTACCGTGTTAGGAAATTGAAATATGGAAGAATGAAAAAGGGAGAAAATAAAGTCATAATATTGGTTGGTATGGTACAGTAGTATTGCCTTTTGGGAACAGTTTTGGAAAGCAAAGGAGTTTATTAAATTGATCCTGAAGATATTCTGTGGAAGACATGCAGTGTAATAGAAATAAGACAAATTGCAGTGAAAAGACTTGTGCAGCTTGAAGAACTGTCTGTTGAGAAGAAAGCAATATAGAAAGTACATATCAGGAAGATGTTTTGTGATAAGTGACAGTTATTCATTGGTCCCATCAAAGAAGAATTATTAGACACGCTGGTGAAAAATAGAGAAGGGAAACCTGTGTAGCCTGTTCCTCCTCCTTAAAAAGTGTTTCTGTGGAAAGGCTTATTTTCTTCCAAGGGATTTTCCCCCTTAATGTCCGTTTTTTGCTTTTTTAAATATGTTCCTACTGTCAAAATTAAGAAAAGAAAAGCCATTTGCAAACATGCTGTTACTTCTTTAAGTTAATAACTTTCAGATTTTCATTTCACTAGTTGCTATCTATGATAGGGAGCCTGATGATTTTTAGAGCATTTGGATTAAGTAACCATTTTCTTTTCCTTAAAGTAGTCATTCCATACACTGTGTGGAGCAGTTTGAAACATTAAAACGTAGGCAGAAATTCTGAAGTCAGTCTCACTGAAATTTGATCACCTGCAGAGATGCTACATAATGCAAAAGCTACTCTTCACCCTTTTGTTTACCCTGTCCTGTAAAGCTGACACTAATGTATTACAACACGTAGCTTTACTTAGTACCTTGGTGGTGGTGGTTTTGGTTTTGTAGTTGAAGGCTAAAGGGAGCAATCTAGCAGTTTAATTTTATTTTCTTGCTGTCATTCATTTCTGAACTTTCATATATATTCAAAGAGAGTTTATTTTATGTGGTTTTTCATTATTTCAACAAAAACTGAATACTGCTATGTATCAGTCATGTTTTAGCTCTAGGTACAGGAAGAGCAAACATATACTCTCTTGGAGCTTACTTCCTAGTTGATAGGTCACAGCTAGAATTTTGCTTACGAGGTGTTCTTAAATGAGATATGTGTTATAATCACTCTTCAAGGTGGATTAAGATGCATTCCTAAATTTGATATCTCTTGATCTTGGTTTCTAAACTATTCTAAAACCTGTTTTGACTATTTCCTTTATTGTTGGATGCATCACAGTTTTACTGTTTTAATTTGCTTTGTACTGTGTATGAGTGAACAGTAGGGAAAACTGGAGATCAGACACACCTAGATTCAAAGCTAGTCTTTGTATTTTATTAGCTTCATCTCCTTGAGCAGTTAGCTTCCATGAGCCTGAACTAAATGTGACTCCTTGCTGAAAGGGGTACTACATGAGAATCAGTTGGTGTAGTTCTGGTGCTAGGAGCTTAATGAGTGTTATTACCTAACCCCTAGGCTTGCTTCAGTTATGCAAGCTATTCGGGTCACCCACTTATTTCTTATAAGCCCCACATAGAATATGATGGGCTTATATATCACTAATACATCACTAATCTCAATTGCTTTACAAATTATACTTAATAGAAAAGTTTCAAGGGAAAAAAATTAAGAAGTCACCAAAGTAAATTGTTTCAGGAAGACTTTCAATTCATTTTCCTCCATAGTAAGGCCTCTCGCACTATGACCATGTCTTTCATCATCAGTCTATACATTTGAAACTGGATGATGTCGAGGGGGTGAAATTCTGTACTCTATCCAGCCTTTCTCAGTTTGCTCATGTTTTCCTCTATCTGACATACTTCCGCTTTTCCTAATCCCTGCCTATTAAAGTTCTGCCCTTGTGCCTTAAGTACCACCTTCAAAAAATATTTCCTGATATCTGTCCTTGTCTCTATTCCCAAACCATACATGTTCTGTCTATTGATTCTCCAGAGTAGTCTGTGCCTTTATTGTTGCATTTAATACCCAGTGCTCCTGCTGTTTGTTTTTGTTACTGATAGAGAAAATGTTCTTCTAGAGAACGCTGTATAGATTCTATCCTGTTCATCTCTAGGTTTGTTGTAATGCCTGGAACAAAGTCACTCATAGGCATTGATTTAATATTTATAGAGCTAAATGAACACTAGGGTTGTAATGAAATTAACATGTAACTTTACTGTTTATGCCAGTATATAGTAGATACTCATACATCAGTAGAATGTATAGCTAAATCATTATGCTCCCACTTGTAAGCATTTTATGGTGTTACTGTTCCATATGAAACACCTGATATATGATCATAACTATGAGAACTGATCTCTACGGCCTCCCAAGGTGTCTGTTACCCTGGGCTATGACAGCTTCAGACTCCCTGGCTTGCGTTTGTTCCCTGTTCTCAGGTCCCCTGTGTGACTTTTGAACAGCAGCTTCCCTCTCAAGATGGTGCCCTACCTACCCCTTCAGTCATACAGAGGGGAAAGATAGAATCACTGCCTAACCAGAGCCTGCAGCTGGGTTTGAGACTCCTGAGGGTGGTTCTGAGAGTAGGCTTGCCCGTCTCTTCTCAGCAGGACCACCTAGTTTAACTCCTTCTGCTGAGGAG